AATAAATAAAATGTTAGGTCATGTCACTTTCTAATCTTAAAAAAAAAAAAATTTGAATTCATATTCATATTGAAATTTTCACACACACACTTTCATTGATCTTAAAGAATTCAAATAAGATATGACCGTGACATTTTCAGAAAAAAAGTGACAAGGATTGTCATTTTCAAGTTTTAGTATCTTAATACATATGCAAAAATACAAGGATTAAACTACTTGTACATACTTGATGTACATTAAGTTTGATATAAGTGTTGACACCATTTGGGCCATTGATTATTAGTGTTATGAAGCTCAATGTGTAAAAATATGTGGAAATTACATAAATTAATACATTTAGAGATTCCATTTCATAAATCATATACAAGGTTTAGCCTTTCAAAAATCAGATTTTTTTATTAATTAATATATTTAAAAATTAATTAATTAAATTTTTGATAATTAAACATCCCCCACCTTCCAAAACCTAATTTTCTATCCATATTCTCTCTCTCTACCAAAATCTCTCTATTCCGACCGATCGGTTGATCAACAGCGCAAAACCACACACTGTGTGTGACGCTTCTTGCAGCGAATTCGCGGGAAGGTGGTGGCCAAGCGACAAGTCATGTGAAGATGTTTTGCCACTTTTAGATCGTCACCGGCTAAGGCAGAAAAAGAGTAAGACTCACCATTAGTGTCGCCGACGATGCTCCATCTTAGATGTGAAGCTAGTACTAGAGAAAAGCAGCGTCGTTGCTGTTGCTACAATAGGAACACCACCCATGGTCAGATGTTGTATTGATACGGGAGAAAAATTGGGGGTTGATTTTCAGGTTTTTTGGGTGATTTCTTCCTATTCAAATCTAATCTGCTTTAGCAAGAGTTGTGTGGTTGTTTTTTTTTTGTTGATTGTTGGTGGTGAGGTAGTGGTGGCAGATTGTCGGTGGTGAGGTGGGAGTAGCAGCAATTTTGAAGTTAAAAGCACCACCCATGGTCAGATGTTGTATTGATACGGGAGAAAAATTGGGGGTTGATTTTCAGGTTTTTTGGGTGATTTCTTCCTATTCAAATCTAATCTGCTTTAGCAAGAGTTGTGTGGTTGTTGTTTTTTTGTTGATTGTTGGTGGTGAGGTAGTGGTGGCAGATTGTCGGTGGTGAGGTGGGAGTAGCAGCAATTTTGAAGTTAAAAATGAAAGTTTGTTGGAGGTGACGGCAGAGATGATATAGGCGGTGGTGGTAAGTGCTTGGTGGCAGATTTGGGGATTTTTTTTTTTTTTTTTGTAGGAGCTATGGTGGTGATGCTCGTGGTCGTGGTGTTTGAATCTAATGATGACAGAGGATATGTTAGATCTGGTGGTGGCGATGGTAGTGGTCTAACAGTAATCATGGTTTTGGTTGGGGTGAGGTGGGTTGATGTGTGGTAGGGGTGGTTTTGGTGGTCGTGGTTGTGTCGATGGTTGTGGTCACAAGTGTTGGTCACATATTATTTGATTAACTGTGACCATTAAATTGGTTAATCTGTGATCAATAAAAAATATGTGACCAACGAAAAAGATAAATTGTGACCAATGAATAATGCGTGATCTAAAAAATTAATAATTTGTGATCGAAAAATAAGTTGTGATTAAAAATTAATCCGTGACTAATTAATTTTTTTTATTTGTAATCGATGAACAAACTGTGATCTACAAATTTTTTGAATTGTGATCGTAAAATAATTTATAACATAAAATTTCTGATTTGTGATCAAAAAATAATGTGTGACTAATTAAATTGTTAATTTGTGATCAAATTGTATAAGTATGTGACTTAAATTTATTTAATTAATTAGTTAATTTAATAATAAATAAATTTTAATAAAAATTTGATTTTTGAAGTTTGAAACTTATTTTCTTAATTTTGAAATATGTCACACTTAATTTCTTACTCATGAAATTTTCCCTAAAAATATACCGCCTCACACGAATGTCAAAGTTAATGTACAACTCAAATGCACATATAGCTTGACTAAAAATACGAAGTGTTTCATTATATCACTTTTTAATGTAAAGAAAGGTTTGAGTTTGTATTCATATTTAAATTTTCACAAACATATATGTTTTTACCTACTTAATTGCTTCAAATGAATTCAAATAACATAGACTGCAAAATTTTTCCAAAAAAAGTGACAGAAAATGTCATTTTCTCGATCTCATTTTCACAACACCGTGCATGCATTAATTGAATTGATCCAAACTTGATTTTTCATATATATTAACTCAATCCAATTCAAAGGATGTCACTTTTTTCATTCTCATTTTACAAACAACTTGCATGCATCACTTAAATTGATTCTAATTTGATTTTTCATATATATTAATTCAATCTAATTCATGCAAATCTGAATTTTAATGCACAGTAACTCAAAATTATTCATTCAGATATTAAATTTCATATGCACTATAATAAAAAAAAATCTCAATAATATTAAAATCAAACAATATATGAACTAATTGAATCAAAAAACATAAACATAAAAACCTATAGATTTGAGTTGATTATTCGCAGATTTGGAGAAGAAAAGGTAGTTGACGCATTCCTTAATCTTGTTTGGGCTTGATTTGTACAATATTTCCTCTTCTGATTTTGAATTTGTTTGCTTTAGATCTTCAAAGAGCTGAAATTTTAACTTCTAATCGACCTCTCTTCTCTAACTTACAACCATAAAAATTACGGTGTAATTGAATGAATTTATTGTATTTGTCTTTTAATCAATTTTTGTAACGATTTTTCAAAATAACCCCAAAAGAAAGGATATTTGTAAAAGTATCCCACATTTAAATAGGGGTGGACATGAGGTGGTACAAATCGGATATTTTCAAGAATTGAAACTAGCTACAAATTTTTGTGTATTTTATAAATGGAACCATTCGGTTCCATGTAAATTTGTAATTATTGAAAGCGAACCGAATCGGGTTCGATTTTACCATAAAAAGTTTTTTAAATAAAAAAGGGTAATAGGAAACAATTATGTGGGCAGAATTCAACTGATTTTTTCGTAAGTTTTAAATGGGTTGTTTCAAGGTTCTTCTTTAAAAGTTAAGATAACTTCATTAATAATTTTGATTACTTGACTTATTTTTATTTCTTTAATTTAAACTAATAAACATGACAAAACTATTAACAGAAAAATATAGGGATGGACGTTGGGTTCTATTGGGTATTTCAAGAACTGGAACCACCCATTAAACGTATTTTGATAATGGAATCATTGGATTCCATGTAATTTTTGAAACTGAACTCGAATCAACATTTCCCCGTTTAACTCCAATTAGTTAGGTTTGGTCCGAATTCCACCCCTAATTCCAGAACATTTAATTTTTTATTTTTTATTTGTACAAAATTTTAATTTAAACTTATTGGCTCACAGGAGCACTACCTGGTACGATCTGACACGTGTTGGGCTTGTGTTTTGTACCTAGCCTTGAAAACTCGAGATACGTCTAGTCATCTACAAATTAAACACGAGCCAAGCCCAGTATGGGGTGAAGCCTACAAGGCCCATATAATTTTCAGCCCAATCTTTTTCATTGCAATTGATAGTATTCTGGGCCTCATAATTGGCTTCCGTGGGCCTAACCAAACTCTTGAGACCCAAAAATAAACTAATGGAAATTATATAATAGCAGGTATTTAAAGATTATAACTCAAAAATCAAGGCTGAAGTTTCATTGTTCACAAATCAGGTATTCCGAACTCTAATTATTTCATTCTACTCTCAACCACTACCCACTCCCCCTACCCCATATAATTGGTCTCACAAACCACCACCGGAAGCTATTGTTAGAGATCGCTGTCGATGATGTCTCTCAATTATTGGGAGCGTCGTCGATAATGTCCTACCTTTTCTCCTTCTCTCTACCACAACCGAGATAACTATTGTGCACGTGGAATCGGCGGTTATAGACCCAACACCCGTCTTCTCTTCTCCCTAACCTCTCCTCTCTCAACAATAGCGGCGCCATCCCTTGAAGAGAATCTCTTGCGCAACGATGTCACCACCGAAAGAGAACCGTTGCGAGTAACGGCATCTAGCCCTGGGCACAGTAGTGTTAACGATGTTGTAAGTGAGTTGTGCCCTGCTGTTTGTCTTACACACCAATAATCGTTGGTGGTTGTGGTAGGTTCAAATATGAGTGGTGGTGGTGGTGATAGTGTGCGGTTGGATGCGGTGGTGGTGTGGTGGTAGTACTACCTGTGTGCAGTGGAGTTTGACCAGTTTGTTGTGGTGCAGATGTGGTGTGTGGTGGGTTCAGATCTGGTTGGTGGTGGTGATGTAGGTGGCCGTGTTGTTGTGTTATTGTTATTGTTGGTTGTGGCAACGACAGGATGGGATGAGGAGTGTTTTGTGACCAATGATTTGTAACCAAGTATTGGTGGTGGATTGGGTGTATGTGATAAATTATTTGACTCAAAAAATTTTTACTAAAAAAGTAATCTGTAATTAACAAATTTTAAAATATGTGATCGATAGATAAACTTTGACTTATAATTTTTTGATCTCTAACCAATAAAATAAATTGTGACTTATAAAACTTTTGATCCGTGACCTCGAAATGATCTATGACCAATTAATTTGACAATATGTGATCAATAAATAAGTTATGATCTATAATTATGTACATGTGACCTTATTATATTTAATTAATAAATTTTTTTAATTAATTAGCTAATATATGATTTTTGCATTATTTATACCTAAAACTGGTTTTTGAATTCTCCATAATTAATATATGACTTGTGAATTTTTCCCAATAAACTATACCACAGCAAATCACAATTAAAAGTGGGCAAACTTCATCGATTTCGGTGAATTAGATTGAACCGATAAACTGGATTCGATTTTGACAAACGAAAAAAGAAGAATTGATACTTTTCAATTTATTTTAGTTTTTTTTTAGTTGATAAAAATATTTATTGATAGATAATGCAATTATAACTCACTCTTATTTACTTAAAAATATTGAACAATGACGAGCTCACTCGAATTAATTCAATTTCGTTGATTTCAATAGATACTACAAAAAGATATTATCCATAGTAACCAAGATAGAAAAACCAACCACTAATTAATTGCTAATACAGGTATACCCGACCCCCTGATTTGTCTAGTAAAGTAGATTTACCATATGCTGCGTATCAACCAGCTTCAAATCCTACACATTATCAGCATATCTCACCTGACCTTTGAACCCACCATTTTTAGATGGCTTTGGTCCTCTGGGATCTCCATGTGCGGCCACTTTAGCAGTAGGGATTCTTTTGTCGAACCCAAATTCTATGTCCACATCTTTGAAATTAGGTTTTTGCCTAGACTCCCATTCTTTAGGGCCAAGGTCGTGGCCTCGGACCGGCTTGGCCTTACCACGGTGACGCTCCTCCTTGCCGCTGTGGTGCTCCTTATTACGGCGGTGGTGCTTCCTGTTGCACAGCCGTCCAAACAAGCAAGCAATGGCTGATATTACGAGTACAGCGGCCAAGACAATGAAAACAGGTCCAAATGAACCATTTGAATTGGAAGAAGGCTGGTTTGTGTTAGTATTAGGATACACTTGATCAACTGGCAGTGACATTTTTAGATAAGAAGTTGAAAATTGATGACGATTTTGAGTTAATTGGCTAGAGGGTTATGTTCTTTGAGTGAAGACAAAGGAGGGTTCAAGTGAAGAAATGGAAGGGACAATAATTTAATTTCCTGATTATGAAAAATGAGAATCTAATGGTATAAGAAGGGGTTCTTGAATTCAAAAAAGAAATGCTTTCACTTTAATAAAGATATTCTTTATGTCCTTTACCGCTGCTCCTTTGAACATCAATACCTATGCAAGAGCTCCATGGAGGAGCTTTACTTTATAGTGCAATTGTTTGAATGACATGACCCTAGGGTGTTAAGTTGGTCGTCTGGCTAGAAACGAGGCAATCCGACACTTCGAGGGTTCAGGACACCGTTCTTTATCTATAGGCCATGTTAGGCTGCACAGGCTTTAGTGCTTGGGCCATTTTACAGCTAATTTGTAATACAGTCCAACCCACTATACATCTCTATCCATCGTTATTTCATGGGGTGTGTACACCGTACACCTATATGCACATGCTAATAAGAACATGAAGTCTTGCAATGTAAATTCTCATAGCAAAAAGTACAAATTCTTTTTGTGATACCATTAGAATGTGGGGACAAAAAAATATCCAAGTGTGTATATGCATGGTAGGTGTAGGAATTCGAAAAATACCGTGAAACGCTTTCCCAAGTTCACAATAAGAAAAGCCTATCTTGAGATTTAATTTGCATGATTTGGATCTTTATTTTTTGCTTTTAGCAGAGAAGAGCTCTCTTTAAGGGGCATGTAGGGTTTGATGTTGTCCAATGATCAGCCAATAAATATTTATTTATAATAAGAATCACGATTAATTATATATTTATATAATTGAGTTGGATAATTAGCACATAATATCCTTAGCTTTCACTATTATTGTGAAAAACATCCTTACCTTTCTTTTTTTTGACATTTTTACCTTTATTTCTACATTTTTGTTGCGCAAAAGGTTATTTTCATTTATTTTCACAATTAAAAGTTGTGAAACGAAAAATATACCATTGTATTTATATAAAACAAAAGGAAAAAGTATGAGCTAATTGCAACCATAGTCCAAATTTAAAAAAAAAAAGTGCAATCGAATTCCAATTTTTTTGAAAAAGTGTAAACGAGTCCCAAATAAATTAATAAATGGATAATTAGTACATAATATCCTTACCTTTCACTATTATTGTGAAAAATGTCCATACCTTTAATTTTTTGACATTTTTATCCTTCATTACCTTCGATTGCACAAACCATAATTTCTATTCATTTTCATCCAATCTATTAATAAAAAGCTGTGAAATGACAAATATATTCTTCTAAAAAAAAAAGAAAAATAAAAGTAATTTTCTCATGTGAGTGTTGGATCACAAGCTGCAAAGTCATGCATAGTTGCTGCAAATCACATTCAGCACCCTGCCTGCATTTGAATTTGCAAATTTTTTTTCTTCTTTCTTTTTTACTTCTTCTTTTTCTTTTTCTTTTCCTTTTTTTATTTTCAAAATTAAAGAGATGATAAATTGATTGAAAAAAAAAAAAGGCAAGCTAGTGGCTCGTGAGCTGATTTGAGGTTTTGGAAATGAGCCAGCTCGAGTTTGATTCGTCTCATATGTTATTGCAAGCTAGCTCACGTGGTGGACCAAGCTGAACTCTCTGGTGGACAATTCGAGCGGCTCAACTCGTCTCATTTAAGACTATATCACACATTGAGGGCTTGGATTATGGGTCTGTTTCACTTTTTTATTTTCAAAAAATAATAAAAAGTAAGTAAGAAATAAGTGGGAAAAAACATAAAATAGCCACTTAACACTAGATTACCTGTATCTATAGATCATGTTAGGCTACACATTTTGATACTCAATTAGCTTTACATTTCTACTTAATTCAATTTATGTATAGAAGAATGTATTACAACTCGATATACTTTATACTTTTATCAATCGTTACTTAGTAAGGAAATGCATGTGCAGATAAGAACATAGATGCCTTCACATGCAAATTCATAGTTAAAGAAGGTGCGGAAAAAATAAAAAATAAGTAAATGAAAGAGTGAATATGAATGTAGCTAGGTATAGAAATTCGAAAAATGTAATCTTACCCTTTCCGAGATCACAATAAGAAAAGCCTAAGTTATGATTTTGCAAGATTTGCATCTTTAATTTTTGCTTTTAGCAGAAAAGTGTCCGCTTTAACTTTTAAGGACCATTTAGGGTTTGAAATTTGTCTAATAATTAGCCAATAAATATTTGTTTATAGTCACCACAATGATTGAACATACACAAACATTTTATAATTTGAATGCCTATATTCATCTTACTTTATTCATTTATCATATCGGATCATCATTGCATTTTTAAATTAAAAAAAAAAAAAAATTTCAAAACACACACACACACACATCCTAATCAGTTGGGCGATTGCTTAATTGTGATTAAATTTATATTCTACTTCTTGTTCACATAGTTTACTCTTAATACATATAATGATTTATTTTTAAGTCTAAAATCTAAATCCATTTCTACTAATTAAATCAAAAGGGATCGTTTCAACGAACTTTTTTGCCATCCTCAATTCCATTTGGTTTCTTAACCTTTAAATAATCAAGCAATGACATATTATAATTTATGATCCCAACGAAGATCGATTCAAAATCATTTTTTAAAACACATATAAAGCAATTTGTCCTATTTTGACTAGCATTTGAGCTTTCCTTCTTTGAGTCTATATGTAAGAAATTTATAATAATTAGTAGATAGGTACCAACAATGCCCACATGGACATGATCACAATCGAAATTACACTTTTTTAATTTTTACAATTTCCTCTGTCAAACCATTTATTACTTCAACAAAGTCACAAGTACAGAAAAATTTAACAGAATTTGTACCAACAATGACGTGGAAAAATATAGTGGGCTGTTTATTATTATTATTATTATTTTTTCCAGCCTCCAATGATATCATGTCATATGTTGTTTGTAAGATTTTTCTGTCAAAAAAATCTGTATTTGTAGCATGATTCTTGTGACTTAGGTAGATGATTATAATTAAACAATATTAAAAAGGAAAATATACATTGTACAAAATATACAATTCAAATATAATATAGAGAATTAATACACACGAGAGGCGTAAAATCAAGACGACAATAAAAAAATGGAGGGATTTGAAGCAACAACAATCCAGGGATTTGGATCAAAACGCTATTAGACTCTCTAGCATCACGTTTGGAGACTTGTGGAAGATTGAAATAAATGTTAGGCTTATTATTGATCATTTTTGAAAAAACAATATAAAATTAATGGATAATTGAAATTTATAGTGGAATGCAAATGCATGAAGTACTATCGGATTTAATTAACAAGATAAACATCATCACGAGATAAAGATGAGTCCGATATTATGATGAGATTCCTACCATAACCTTTCCCTTTTACAATTTTTTTTATTTTAAATATTACAAAATGCTAATTATATTATATAGAATTGCGAAATAAGTAATTCGAGATCTCTTCTATGCTGACTTTCTCAATGCATTTCTATTGACAATGACTTTGTTATTTGATCTTTATAGATGATTAATATTTCTTAGCACAAAGATTGTGAATTATACTCATCTTTGAATTGAACTTAATCCTTTTGCGAAATTAAACTTCTTAATAGTTTTAATTAGCTCTATATTTTGGAGTTTACTCTCCCTCATGCGCTGTGCTAAACTTAACTTTCACACGTTATGTATATTCGAGTATTTGTTCTCTTGTACTTTTTCCCATATTATGTAATTAATTTACAAGAAAATAGAGACTAAAATGGACTTGAAATAATTTCTAACATTGTTGATCACGTACCTTCATATTGTGATAACAATGAAGTCATCGTGCAAAAGAATGAACTAAGGTCTCATCAATGATTCAAATTACATATATTTGAATTTTATATCATCCGTGGTCGTAAGTAATAACGAGATGTGAATATCATTATTATTGATAGACCATTACGTGTGGTATTTCTTATTTGTGAAGTAAATAGCTAATCTTACAAATTAAATTGTGGTGACACATAAATGAATACGTGGATGTTTTGTTATAGAATAAAACATTGCAGACTCATCTATATGGGTAACTATCTAAGTGTCAATGGTTAATCTCTAGCGCTCGGTAATAGGATTGGTCATTCGACTTGAGGTCATCATAGTATTTTGTATGAGGATAGGCATACTTTCGTGATATTGAATGTTGCTCTGCCAAATGTTGCTAATACAACATTGTTCGAGTATATCAAAAATCATATAAAGGTTGTAAATGATTAATAGAGGATTCATCACTCTTATATAGTAAGAAATTATGATCTACATTTTATTCAATTAAGTTGCTAGCGAAAGCATTAGCTAAGATGTACTCATAAGTCGAAAATGAGTTTTCGACTTACATTGATTAATAGTAGAATGAAGATGATCAATAATTGAGATTGACATGTATCTATATATCGTATTTGATTAGATCATATTGACGAAAATATTATAGTTTAATGGTAAACAAACAAGTTTAATTTTGTCATATTACGTGACATTTTCAGTCATATATATTGCAATGACACATTGTTAGATGTTAATCTAAGACGACGAATGTAAATTGGTGATAAATTAAAAAATGGTATTTTAATTTATCGATTTTAATTAGATCAAAATAATAATTCATATCATTAAGTATTGTGATTGAGAACCTAATGGGTCACACACAAAAGATGAATTAGAAAAAATGATATTAACCAACTAATTAATTAACAAGTATTGGAGAATTAATTAATTGGCTAGCTTATTAATAGGCCCGAATTAATTGATTAGATTAATTATTTTATGAATCAAATTTAATTAATTTGATTAATTAATATAGGTTTGGGTTAAGTTTAATAGATGGGTCAAGTCCACATGGACTTATATTAGTAGGTTGCTAGGATTTGAAAATTCATAAGAGAATACGATTCATATTCGTGTTAGCACAAGAAAAGAAAACTCTAGTTTTCTCAATCTTGTTTTCACTGTAGATTTTCATTGGAAGTTTGACTATTGGACAACTGTGGATTGCAGATCAGGTTAGAAAAAAATATACAAGTGCAGAAATGCATGTAGCTGCATATAGGTATTCGAAAAATGTAATCTTACCCTTTCCGAGTTCACAATACGAAAAGACTTAGTTTGTGATTTTGCAAAATTTGCATCTTTATTTTTTGATTTTAGCAAAAAAGTGTCCGATTT